GCTTCGCCTTCCACTTGCGACAGTCGGTACAGGAATGCTGTTGTTTCCGGATAGCCTCCCGCCCACGCAGGATCCAAAAGGCTCTCCTTATCTCAGCAAAGATGTGTTCTGGACCTGGGTGACACATTTTAGAATCGTAATCTTGAATTAGGAGCTTTGTAGCAAAGTGGTGAGGGTCTAGAACTACTGGGTGTTTGTATGAGGGATCAACTCCTTCTGCATGCCGTAGCCGTCCACCGACGCGGATGACCTTAGTGGAGTGATCAAACTCTGGGGCAAGGGTAAGTAAGCGACTGGATGGGAGGACAGCTTTACCTGCTTCCAGGAGTTTATAATCATCTGGGAAACTGTCTCGCTGGATACAGCAGAGAATATGGGCTTCTGCCCTTTGATAATCTGTTGCGGTAGGACTCTTCTGTTCATTAGCCGCCCCATGAGCTGCTGTTCTTGCTGATGTCTGGCAAGCGTGGGTAAGGTGAGATCATGATGGCACCACAGAAAGCATTCTTCCGACGCTCAGATTCATCAGTGCTCAATATGTCTGCAAGAGGGGTTGCTTGGCCATTCATTAGGGGATTGAAGTAGAAATTCTGGACCATGACTCCAATGACTCTGCTGGGACAGTACTTTACAGAGTGTTTTACCTCTGGTAAGGTCATCAGCTGGATTCTGGCCTGTGTCTACATATCTCCAGTGATATTGATTAGTCAGTTCCTGGATTTCCACCACTCTCGTACCTACAAACACCTTGTAGTGGCAGGACTCTGACTGAAGCCATGACAGCACCGTGGTTGAATCGGTCCATAACACCGTGCGACTGATCTCTAGGGTTAGCTCATTTTCCAGTAATTTGTCTAATTGAGAGCCACTCAGTGCGGCGCACAACTCCAGCCTAGGGATGGTGTGGCGGCGTTTAGGGGCAACCTTTGACCTTGCCATGACAAAGGCTACTTGCACATTACCTTTGTAGTCTTCTGTGCGTAGATATGCGACGGAACCGTATGCCCTTTCTGAGGCGTCACAGAAAATATGGATTTCCCTGGTGACGCTGGACTGGTTTGTGGTTGGTGTGTAGCATCGAGGCTGGGTAATACTAGACAGTGTGGGAAGCTCTGATTGCCACTCTTCCCAGGCTCTGAGCAGGTCGTCGGGTAGTAGTGGATCATCCCAGCCACAATGTAATTATGGAAATGCAATGACCAGACTTAAATGAGTAACCTTAAAAGGGAAATACTGTTCTGCAAAGCAAGTACAGTTTGTGGAAACATGACCCTAAAGTTGTATAGCAGGTTAACAGAACAACTTAGACTGTTAGAATGAAGGGAAGTTGGTTAACTTGGTTGCAGAGTGTGTGGAGTCTTAGCAGTTGTTTGGAGAGGCTGATGAGCTGATGGGATGATGGCACTCAGGAAGGCGTGGTGTTTGGAGCAGAGCCCCTTGGATTCTCTCTCCTTGTGAAGCTTTGTCTTGCTTGCAGTTCTCTGTTGGGTAGCAGGCCTTCACCGGCAAGCTTCAGGAGGGCTTTTTCTCCTGGGCTGATGTTCCCCGCCTCTCTCTTTGGGCTGATGTGCTTTCTGCTCCTCCTGGCTTTGTTCTGAGGTGCGAGATTTTATGGTCTAAAGTTCATGAATAGGGATGAACAGGAATTCAACACCGAACCAATTGCTGACCATCCATTTGGCGGGCTTTCGGAGGGGTGTCTGTGGCAGTCCTTTTGGAATTTATGACCAGACTGATTCCCCTTTACTGATGATTTTCATTAAGCTGGTGTAACTTTTGATACACTTTCATGGTAACCACTGATTTTCCATCAGTTTGACACCAAACATGCCATACCAGGCTCATACTGTCTGTATTGATTAATTAACAGTTACTTATATCATGTATGTTACTGACTCACATCAGTATACGTTATAGGTGTTTTGGGTTGCACCTCAACAGATGTTACATTTTGTACAAACATTACATTACATATTCATATTCAAACAGCACATCTTATCCTTAGATAGGCATGTTTGGGGTAATACCAATTTAAGTTGCACATCTGGGAACAACATATTTTGAGTTGGTGTGGCATATCCCAATTGACCTGCTCTCCAGAATGGATAATGTACATCTTAATTCAGTTCTTTTAATGCAGCATGGTAGAGCACAAAGAGCTTGCTAACAGACCACAAAGATCAGATAAGGGCCACAGAGGAATGTGAAAAAGGGGGGGTTGTTCAACAAAGAAAGAAGAATCTCTGAAAGTTAGGACACACTGATATACCTGGTTACACTATTTAATTTTCAAGATTCTTCTGGTATGACCATGAGAATCTATATGCAGTGGTAGGTATACATATTTATTTATTCAAATTTATATGAGTTTAAATGTGAGGGGTAAAAGAGTTGATACTCCGTGAACATGGCTATAAGGGTGGCACACAAAACACTAAGATTGTCTAAGGACACACACAAACATAACCTATCTGTATATTGAGACTAGCAATCATAAGCCAAAAAATATACAGGGTATACAAAAGCTGACTTAGAAGAAACTTTCTTTTGGATTTTGACCTGTTGGGTGAATGGTATGTAAGGCAGGATGTATGGGGGGAGGGGGTTGCATGCCAAGTCAAATGACCCCTGTCCTTGAGGGTCACTCTGCTGCCTGTATGTCCCTAAATCTGTGGGAAATAAAAGTTGGAGTGCTGGCCTCCCTTGTTATCTGTGGGGGGGGGGGTTGTGCTTAGGCCAACGTGTACCTCTCATACTAGGGTAGGCATTGTCTCAGGCCACCTGGAATTTAAGCTCTGTCATATGTGGATATGTGATCCTACAGTTGAAATACAACTGATGTAGGGCCATGTACATACTACCATGTGTGTTGTCACGTGACTCCGGTCTGTGACATGGGAGCAGTACAGAAAAATGCCTATGCATATATGGATCAAAAGCTTGGACACAATCATTCCTATTTCAAATACAGTGGTACCTCGGTTATCAAACTCACTAGAACTCGAATTTCTTGAAAGTCGAACAAACCAGTTTGACCTAGAACCTAGAAGTCGAACCGTGAATGCTGACCCAATATAAATTGTACGCGCCAGGAAATGAGTCACACAGCACTTCTCTAAGCGGAAACAAAAGGTAACGCTTCAGTGTCAGCCTCGTATTTGCTGTAGTAGCAGCGCTTGTTGGTCATAGTGCTATTTTATCGAAAATACTTTATCAGGTAATACACTGTACTTTATATCATTTTGTTAGCCATTGCTCACCAAAAAGTTACGTAATAGTTGAACAAATGTTGCAACCTAAAAGTTTGCTATTCACGGACATATTTACGAATACAGAGTAATAATAAAAAATAAACAATGGACCGGATTCA